GGGTGACCCACAGAGGGCCCTGCCAACCCCCAACATTCTGTGATTCTGTGAAAACACCCCAAAAACTGGTGTTATGGGGCTGTTTCCCAGCCCAAGAGTCCCAGCGAGGACCGGGAGCTGCGGGCACAGACTGAGCCTCCACACAGGGCTCATTTTTTGGGGGGGTTGGGTCTGTGCTGCGCTGAGCGGGGCAGAGAGCGGCACGGGGTGAAAGCCAGGTCCGCGGGGCCGGCCGGCACGGCGGCGGGGAGGCACTGACCGTTTTCCCTGTGCTGGAAGGAAGGCGAAAACTCTTTGGCAGTGATCCTGGCGATCCGCGCTTCCTCCTGAGCTTTCTGCGCCGCCGTCACAGCCGCCTCCGCCTTGGCCCTGGAGTGAGAGGTCCTGCAAGGGAACCAGAGAGACAAGGACCACGTTAGGCAGCTTCCCTCTGCAGACCAAGGCACGGAGAAACCCACGTTGCCCCCCACCAAGCCCCTCTGCTCCGACCCCCTGTGGCTGCGATGGCCGGGAGCTGGGGCTCGCTGGGGAGCGGGGGATGTCACATCGATAACGCGTTCATGAGCTGCTTCTCAGCCTCCAAATTGCCCGGGGCAATTTGTTCTGGGGCTGAAGGCCTCAATTTAAAAAACACCCAGTGGGGTGTTTTTTTTTCACCAAAAACATTTGCTTTTGGATGAAGAAGCAAAGATTTCCACCCCCGCCACCACACATTCTGCGTAAAACGCTGGATGTAAACACAAGGGCGGTTTGTCACCGAGAGCAGAGGTAGGAGTGGGGGCTTGCCATCAGCTCTGCCTCCACCTCCCCTTCACACATCTTCATCGGGGCATTTTTTTTTTCACTCCGGGTGAGCGACTGCCCCCTGCACTCACCCGTCACCGGCGATTCCCCGGACACTCGTGTTTGATGGCATTTCAGCCCGTCGCTCAGGATTTACGCCCTCTCCTACAGCCCCTCAGCGTTCCCGCGAGCATCCTCCGGAGGCTGGTTTGCCCCCTCCCCTCAGCTGAGCTATCGAGGCACTTAAAAAAAAATCCCTGTTCCTACCCACCCGGGTGCAGGCAGCGTTATAAATAGCTCAGCTGATTTCTTTTCCCTCCAAAATCAGGCCCTCCATCTCCTTTAATCATTTTTATTTTTTTTTTCCCTGCCGCTCTCTGAATTCCCTCTAATTTTGCGACATCTGCTCGGAGAGGAGTGCCATTTCTGACAGGCTCCTATAAATGGAAAACGGGGCCAGCGATGTGCCTGGCGTCGCAGCGTGCAGCGCAAGCCGGGGATGCGAAACCGGGTGTGCGTGCGGCTGTGCGCTGCCACCTCTCCCAGCCGGGGCAAGGCGCCCGCTCTCTGCTCCCGGAGCCGACCTGTCACTTGTTTTCCAGTGCTGACAAGTTGTCTTTGCTCTAATAAGTGCTTTATTTATATAAATTATCTGCGCTGGAGTAGCCGAGGGAGGGGATATGACCCCGTGCTCCCGGAGCTATTGAAGGTGGCAGAGGGGCTGCGGCGATGCTGCTGCGGGTCCCGCAGGTCCCCCGCGACCGATGCAACCAAAAACTGTTTTTAAATGTGTTTTTTTTATTTACCTGCCCCCCAGCTCCAGCGCTCCCTCTGCTCCACACTCACACAGGGCCAGAGAGGGGACGTGCGTGTTACAGCCCCATCCCCTGGCAGGTATCCCAGGTCCGCTCTCTTGGGAGGAGCAGGGATGCTCGGAGCAGGAGCTGCAGCAAACTGCCGGGAGAGGAGGCACAAACTGCTCCCGCTTTCGGCACAGATGTGGTCGGTGGGAAAGGCTGGGGCATCAGACCCGCCGACTGAACCACCCCAGTGCCAAAAACGGTGCCAACCATGGCTTAACATTAAGATGCTGACTCTCAGGTTGTTAAAACAGCTGGCATCTTCCACGGGAGCTTCTCAGAGGTCTGGATGTCGGCTCCCGAAGATCCTCCATCCGTCCATCCCTCCATCGTCTCCTCGGACTGGAAGCTGTTCAGGGAAGGGACTGTCCCTCCCACACTGCAGCACATTTCTACAGCAGCTGCTGGCCTGCTACAGAGCATTAATAACGTCTGAGAGTGTCTGGACCAAACTCAGCAGGCAGGTTTACACCCCGCCGCCTCCCTAACCTCCTCCCCGGAGGTGCAGCCGGAGGCAGTGATCTGTCACTTCTTGCCAGGGAAGGAGGCTGGGAGCACTGAAAAGCAGCTTGTGCCACTTCCCCGGGTCCTGGGGGCACACGAAGGTGTCTGCAGAGCGGGAGGTCACCCTGGAAGGGCAGGCGTGGAGCCACCGCCCAAGCCATGCTCCCCTCTCCAGCACTCATCACCTCCCCTTCATTCACCAAAATGGGTCAAAATCACCATCCCTGGGGGACGGATGGGTTTCCATCCTGGGAAAACTCACTCCAGCGACTTCTGGACTAGTTCATCCCCCTGGACTCCAAGAACAGCCCAGGAAGAGCCGCAACGAGGGGCTTGGGGCCAGAAAGAGTTAAAAATCAATCACATTAATTAAGCCGTCTCCGATCTAAAATATATTCCATACCCACAAAGCGGATCTAACGTCGAAGGCTGCGCAGAGGCGCAGGCAGGCTTAATTGTGTGTCACGCTCGTTAAGATGCTCGGAGGAGAGGCGCCGTCAGGGTGAAAAGCAGAATTATGGCGATCTATACGTTGCATAATAAAATACATAAGCATTCCCAAATAAATGCAAGTAATCCAGTTAGCGTTCGCCTGACTTTGTCACATGCTAATTTTAACAGCTGTCTCCTCTACACATGCCTGCTGCTCGTAGCGTGCGCTAAATCTTAATTCCCCAGTTAATTGCTTGGGTTTGTTTCCTTGTAAAGCGTGGTCTTTCTCCATGACATGGAGACGGGGCTCGATCTAATCACTCTCCTCCTCCTGCCCTAAGCGCTGCCACGTATCGTTCCCGGACAGAGACACCACCCTGGAAACCACAGTCAAAATAAGGCTGGATCCTTCCCTCTGGATTCATCGCAGCTGGGGGAGGAGGCTGGCGATGCTCAGAGGCTGGAGGAACCAAACAGATCCTCTTGCATGGCTCCTTCGTTACCTGCCGTGGTGTCCCCCACCCCGTAATGAGCCCACCAGACAAAAGCTGTTGTTTGCAAGAGCGTGGTGCCCCTCTCGTCTTGTCTGAGCTGATTAAAAGCTGCACATCAGCTCGAAGGTGCTCATCTGGGTTTCTTCTGCCATCAAGGATGAGCCAGGGAGAAGAAGCAACACGTCCCGGGGTGATAAGGATGGCTGGAGCTCTCTGAACATCAGCACACACAAGCGCAGA